GAGGTCGGCTCGCTTCCCGAGGTCATGCAGCGTCACCTCGCCGACGTCTCCCGGCGTGGCGCCCGCCACCGCGGCGGCAGGCGTCCGACTCGTGCCGCCGCTGCCCGCGCCGCCGCCCACGCCGCCACCCGTGCCACCGCCGCCCGCCGCGCCGCCCTCGCTGCCACCCGTGCCACCACTGCCCGCCGCGCCGCCCTCGTTGCCACCCGTGCCACCACTGCCCGCCGCGCCGCCCTCGCTGCCACCCGTGCCACCACTGCCCGCACCGCCGCCCTCGCTGCCACCCGTGCCACCACTGCCCGCACCGCCGCAATTGCAACCGCTGCCACCGCTGCCGCTGCCCTCGCCGCTCGTGCCGCCGCTGCCAACGCCGCCAACGACGCTAGCCGCGCGCGGTGGCGCGATCACTTCGACGTTGCAGGCTTTCAGGGCTATGGGCTGAAGCCCATCGCACTTTACCTTCCACCGCCTCTCCTTCGCCTCTCCAACGGCGACGAGCTTCGCAGCGACGCCCTCATGGCCGTTGAACTCCTCACGCTGCAAGCCGACGATGCGCACACGAGCGCCAGGGACGATTGTCATTGATCAGGGTAGCGCACGCGCCGGCCCCGAGCTCCCTTAGGTATGTGTTGGCCAAGCAAGACACAAACCTCATCCACCCCACGCCGTGGTTTCTTAGCTCCGGCCGGCACTCAAGCCCAGCGAGAGAGCCGGCCCGAGGATTTTTAGGTGAGTCCTTCGGTACCCGGCGCCTAGGAGCGCGGGTTAGCGTGGGTTCCACCGGGTTAAGCCACACTAACCCGGCACGGGTTAGCACGGGTCAGAACGGGTTACCATAACCCGACGCTAACCCGACGCTAACCCGGCACTAACCCGTCCTAACGTATGCCCCCGAGCAGCGCGGGTTAGCGCCGGGATACTCTCGCGATAACCGCGCGCTAGGGATGCGTTACACCTCTACAGCTCGAACGGGCACTCTCTACCGCGGTCACTCACTCGCCACACCACAGCCGCGGGCGCATGGCGAGCGGGACAGTCTCATGCCACAGGATCTATAATGTACCGCCCTCACTCAGCGCACGCACCCTCACTCCTCCTCCCACCTCCCTAGGGCCATCACTGGCACACGTTGAGGGCCGGGCCCCCTGCAGCCCGCACTGCCGCTGTAGCGGAGGCCATGGGCGCAACGGGAGGTGTGTCGACTGGGCGTCAGGCGTGCACGGAGCAGTGAGGAGGGACGTGCTCTAGTCGACGTAGACGACCCACTTCCAGCACGAGCGAGCCTCGTCCCAGACGTACCGGCCGCCCAGGCTTTCGATGTACACCGAGTGCTCGTCCGCGACCTCGGCGACATTCGATCAAGTTACCAACAACATGCCCTGTTACCAGAAGACCATGCCGACCTGTTAAGGCAGAATATGTTAACAGAAGTGCCCGCCGCAGCAGCCGTTTCATCTCGCCAACCAGCTCTAACCCGGCCCTAACCCACCCCTAACCCGGCGCAAACCCCTGCTGACGTATGCCCCCCAGCCGCACGGGTTAGTGCCGGGTTAGCGTCGGGTTAGCGTCGGGTTATGATAACCCGTTCTGACCCGTGCTAACCCGTGCCGGGTTAGTGAGCACTAACCCGCGCTAGGCAGGTCTGACCCGCCCCGTTACAGATCAAG